GAGTCCCAATCAAGGTTATCACCGACGATTGGCAACCAATCTTAGGGGTTCTGGAACATGTTACCACTAAGTCATCTCAGACATACTGATCTCCATGATGCCCCTGCCAAAGATAAGTTCATTAACTTCCTTCCCCTTGCAAAAAAAGCAGCCGACATTTTGCGCGACTGTTGGCTTTCCATTCCAGCTGTCAATGACAACGAAGGTTTCCAGTGATGATCGATGACCAATCATAAAGGTTCCTGAATATGTTACCACTAAGTCATCTCTGACACACACTGACCAGCTTGACGGCCCGTGCCAAGGTTAAATAAATGAACTTCCTTCCCCTTAAGAGAAAGCATTTTGTGCTGCTGTTGGCTTTCAATCCCGGTGTCACTGACCACAAAAGTTTCCACTGGCGATCGACAACCAACCATAGGGGTTCCTGAACATGTGACCACTAAGTCATCATAGACATACTGATCACACGTCCAAATGGATGCTACTGAAAGATAAAACACTTCATTTTTGTTGTCTCATATTACAGGAATATGGATATACAGTTGCAAGAAAAAGTATGTGAACCCCTTGGGATTACGTAGAGTTTTGCATGAATTGGGCATAAAAATGTTGCTCTCTGAACGTCATCTAAGTCACAAACAATAGAAGAACACAGTCTGCTGAACATAATACTACTACACAAACATTAGATGTTGCCATGGTTTAATTTGCACATAACATGTAAATCATTCACAGTGCAGGGAGGGAAAAAAAGTATGTGAAATCCTTTGGACTTAATAACTGATTAAACCCTCCTTTTAAGCAGCAATAACCTCAACCAAACGTTTCCTGTAGTTTTGCAGATCAGACCTGCACAACGATTCTGGAGTCATTTTGGACCACTCTTCCCATTCACAAAACTGTTTCAGTGTAGCAATATTCTTGGGATGTCTGGTGTGAATCGCTCTCTTAAGGTCATGCCACAGCATTTCAATCGGGTTGAAGTCAGGACTTGACTGGGCCACTCCAGAAGGTGTATTCTTTGCTGTTGCAGCCATTGTTTTGTTGAATTACTTGTTGCTTTTGGGTCATTGTCCTGTTGCATCACCCATCCTCTGCGGAGCTTCAGTTGGGCAGACAGAATGGTCGTCACGTTTTCCTGCAAAATGTCTTGATAAACTCTGGAATTCATTTTCCCATCAATGACAACAATCCGTCCAGGCCCTGAAGCTCCTTTTCTGCGAGGCTATGGTTCACATTCAGACAGTGCTTTTCTTGAAACCAGTAAACCCCAAACAGGTGTGTGTTTTTTTGAAGGGCAGGTACAGCTGTCAGCAACACATCCAATATCATCACACTGATTGGAGTCAAGGTTGGCTCTCACTCCTGGCTCCAAATAGATAAACTCTGGAGAAGTCATTAAGCTAGGGCCTCACATACTTTTTCCTCCCTCACTGTGAATGTTTACATGTTATGTGCAATTAATATCATGGCAACATCTAATGTTGTGTAGTATTATGTTCCAGCAGACTTGTGTTTTCTATTGTTGCGACTTAGATGACGTTCAGAGCAATTTTATACAAATTAATCCCAAAAACTACGTAACCCCAAGGGGTTCACATACTTTTCTTGAAAATGAAACATTTTTTTAGGGGTGAAAATTAGTAAAACAGATTTATTGCTGATTTTAAGTGTACATGCTGGGTGCTGAAAAATTTGGAGTGGGCCCTTTTGTCATAAAAGGGCCCCCTGGTTTTTAAAGGGGGTTAAATTGGCTTCTAAAAGGATTTAATTCTTTCCCCCAGTGAAAGGGTTACCTTAAGCCCAATGAACGGGACACTAATTTTTTTGCCCTTGGGATTTTGTGGCTACTTTGTTTCCAGGGGGTGTTTGAAAATTCCTCCTCCTCTCCCCCCTTTTTGATTTCCCCCTTACCCTTTTGTGGGCAAGCCAGGGGGTGGTAAAACGTGCCCGGGGAAATTTTTTGGTTCTCGGGTGGAGCATTGTTTTACAGTCATTTGTTAAAAAATTAATAAATACTTTCCCAAGAGGAGCTAAAGAGGGGAAATGGGGCTGATAAATATTTTTCTAATTCAATTCAAAATAAAGTGGTGGAGAGGGGATTTACACTGGCGGGGGAACAACCCCCAGATTGTCCTGTACATGGGGGTTATCTTGAGCGAGGGTGTAAATTTTTGGGAAATGCTTTATTTTTGGTTATAGGGGTAAAAAATGGCTCAAATTTTCCGAGAAAACCCCTCGCCAAATCCAAAAAAAAGAACCGGGGAAAGGGGGTTTGGAACTGAGATCTTCAAAACCCAATTTGGGGCTCCAAAACATTAATGATGGACAAGTATTTTTTGGTTTTTATTTAAAATGTTAGAAATGAAATTTTTGGAAAACTAAAAAGGATACCCTCTTTTTCTCCCTTTCAAATTTTACTCTCATCACCGGGGAAATATCACACACCCAACATAACAAAAAAAGGGGAACAAAATTGCTCTTGCCCCCTCTTATTTTTTCTGATAACATTTACTTAATTTATCTCTGGGGTTTTAAACCACACCCAAAACAAAACCCTTCATAAGCCCTGATTATTTTCTCTCTCCCTTTTGATTCCCAACTCACCATTTGAAATATCACCCTTCAACGTTGCCCCCCTTAGGGGGGGAAAGAACATACTCTACTTGGCCATCCTTTTTCCCTTTCCCTGATTATTCCCCACCAAAAAATATAAATCCCACCAAAAAGATCTTAAAGGGCCCAAAAATACCCCTTCTCCTAACCTCTTCCTTTCCCGATTAACCCCCCACCGGAAATACCCAATACCCCTTACCGGGGGTGTATTTGCAAAAAGGGCAAAAAGGCTTTTTGCCTTGGGGGGCCATTTTTGGGGGAAAAGGGACCCCCCCCCCAGGAGAAGGGACGTGGTTGTCCTGCTTAAAAGCCGGGGGAGGGGGGCTCCCAAAGGGGATTGGGGGGCTGGATGGAAAGGGGAAAGGGCACAGTGATGGCCATGGGGACTTTTTGGGAAGGGGGCCGGGGTTTCCCAAACGCTGTGATGGGGAGTCCCCCTTTTTTTTGGGGTATCACTGGGTCCACTTTGGTGAACCTCCTGAGACCCCAGATGAAAATCTCCTCATCCATCAGCTGTCCTGAGGGTGTCCTTGAGCAAGGGATTCCAAGATCTATAATGAAGTAGTCCCAGATGAGAACTAGTTGGGTATTGCACCTGACCGCCCTCTCCCTTCTTTGGCCCAGGGGGTGTACAAGTACTCACACGGTCCTGTTTCTGTAGCTTAATGGGTTGCAGCTGCTTTTAGGCCTTACGCTGGGCTGGCTCCTTCCCTGCTGACAGGCTGTCTTTCCTGTATGACAGTGGAGAAATCCTTCTTCAAAGGTCAAGAGTCCCCCACTCTCCTTACATTCAGGGGCGGACTGACAACTCATGGGGCCCCCGGACAACAGGGGATCATGGGGCCCCTGTGTCCTTGCCCAAACTCAAAAAAGCCTATGAAAAAGGTACCAGGGGCATCTCATGGGGCCCCCTACTGACCCGGGCCTCGGGCAGTGTCCGAGTTTCCAAATGGTAAGTCCGCCCCTGCTTACATTACAGCACACACCCCTTACCTTGTGCTGCTGCTGGGAAGAAGCTGTGGGTGGAGCTGGAAAGCAAAAAGTGCAGGGTCTGGAGGAGGACCAGAGGAGGGCTGTAATCAGCTGTTGGAGTTTGTCGAACGCTAAGAGAAGGGGAGGTGGAGGGAGGGAAGGGGGTGCTGAGGCTGCAGAGAGGTGTAGGATCTGTAGGAGTTCTGTCTTCCTCTCTGCTGCTGACTGCTGAGAGGAGGGAGGGGGCTGGTACAGAGATGAGCCTTTCCGCAGCTGCATGGAGAAGAGCAGGATCTGGGGGGAATTCTGTCCTCTTCTTTACTGCTTACTTTTGAGACAAGGTGGGGGGGTGGAGACGAGGGGGGTGTTATGGCTGCACAAAGAGGTGCAGGATCTGCAGGAAGAGTTCTGTCCTTCTCTCTGCTGCTGACTGCTGAGAGGAGGGGCTGGTACAGAGATGAGCCTTTCTGTAGCTGCATGGAGAAGAGCAGGATCTGGTGGAGGAATTCTGTCCTCCTCTCTACTGCTTACTTTTGAGACAAGGTGGGGGTGGAGATGAGGGGGGTGCTGTGGCTGCAGAGAGGTGCAGCATCTGCAGGAAGAGTTCTGTCCTTCTCTCTGCTGCTGACTGCTGAGATGGGGGGAGGAGGGGCTGGTGCAGAGACGAGCAACTCCGCAGCTGCATGGAGAAGAGCAGAATCTGGTGGAGGAGTACTGTCCTCCTCTCTGCTGCTGAGAAGGGGGCAGAGACTAGCCTCTTCGCAGCTGCATGGAGAAGAGCAGGATCTGGTGGAGGAGTTCTGTCCTTCTCTCTATTGCTGACTACTGAGAGAAGGGTGGAGAAGAAGGGAGTGCTGCAGGAGAGGTGCGAGGGCCACATGAAATGGCCTGGGGGGCCATATTCAGTCCTCTGGCCTTGTGTTTGACTCATGTTCCCTACTGGATGACATTTAGCCCCTTTCACACTAATGTATCACAACATCAGGCATTGCGTATACGTGCATTTTGTTGGACATGTTTTGCTAGTAGGGCAGCTTGTCCATTTCAATGGGCTGCCCAACATCTGAGAAATGCGGCATAGAAGCTCATCCACTTTTTTTTGAGCTTCGAGATTTGCGCATTTTTTTTTACCGTGCATCATTTCACATTTATCAGACATTCCCAATGCATTTTTTGCTTGGCACATTTGGGGTACCATCATTAACGAATAGCACTGCATGAAGAATATCATGCATTGTTCACGCATTTCAGGAACACACACAAATTGTGCCAATTTCGGCGCCTACACATGCTACACTAATTTGAATGTGGCCTTAGACTGCTGATCGGGGGGGACTGACCATTCGAGCACTCGGGCACAGCCCAAGGGCCCGGGGTCCGTAGGGGGCCCCATGAGATGTTCCTGGTACCTTTCATAGGCTTTTTTGGGTGTGGTTTGAGTGTGGGCAAGGACACAGGGGCCCCATGATCCCCTATTGCCCGGGGGCCCAATGAGTTGTCAGTCCGCCCCTGCTGGTGAAGCATCTTTTTGAAATAAATTCCTCTTTTTCTGGTTCCTCCTCAGTTGTCCCTCTTTTTGGGATGTATGGACCCATGAAAAATAAATGTAACTATTAGGGTATTACGCAGCGCTAAATAATTCATCCAACTTCTATATAATTGCATTTGTTATTTTGAAAATCCAGTATGAAGAAAAAGTAGCGGCAAAAAACCCAGCAGGTTCACTCTTGCACAGTTGTATCGGCTCCTCTCTTGGACTAAAATGGCTTACTCTGATGTCACTGCACACTGTGAGCTTCTCACAATGTGCATTAGAAGCTGCAGCAAATCACATAGATCCCACCTCATTTCCTGGCTGGAGAACGTCCAGCATCATCTATCACTTTTCCTCCACAGCCATTATGTCCAGGTCCTGCCCTCTTCATTCTTAGATTTCAGTCCTTGTCATGGAGGCTCTAGTGTGGTCTACATACAAACACACATATAAAACAAAATGGCGCAAAGAGTGCAATTTCAGCTCAAAATATGAATGGATACACAGCAAGAGTCCATTAAAGTCCTTATTAGGCACACAAGGGGTTAACTCCTGCTTGATCCAGTAAACTTAGATGCATCTCCAAGAGACTGAAGAAATCTCTAGGACCAACAAATAAGAAACGGCAGAGGGCGCTATCTAAGTGTAGTATATAAAAATGTATTTTTTTATTGTTAAAAAATGATAAATGGCAACTAAAATATACAGTACAAGGCTTGAGAAAGGGCAGAGCAGCCTTGAAACACGTAGCCATTAATGATGGGCCAAACACCCTCCTGTTCTGTTTGCGGCCAAACATTCAAACCCCGGGATTCTCCACTGACAGCTAAATATAAAAAAGAATTGCCGGCAATTAAAAAATGGTTTGGGCACCCCCATCCATACCAAGCCCTTTGGGTCTGGTATGGATTTTGAGGGGAACCCATATGCAAAAATGTACAAAAAAAATGGTGTGTGGGTCCTCCCAAAATCCATACCAGACCTTCATCCGAGCATGTAGCCCAACAGGTCAGGGGTAAGTGGAGGGTGAGCACCCCCCTCCTGAACCATATGAGGTCACATGCCCTTAACATGGGGGTGTGCTTTGGAGCAGGGTAGGCTCCCCCCGAAAAGCACCTTTTTCCCATTTTGATGAAGACAGGGGCCTCTTCCCCACAACTGTGGCGGGTGGTTGTGGGGGTCTGTGGGCCCCCAGATCCCGCCCCCCCCATGTGAATGAGTATGAGATACATGGTACTCATTAACAAAAAAAAAAGTGTAGTGTAAAAAAATGATAGGAGACAGTCTTTGACAAGTCCTTTATTAAAACCAAAAATTTTAAAAATGTCCCCTGAGGTAGATCCCATGTCAATCACGATGCCCGCCACCACCGCCGACCCCCAAAAACAAAAACGCTCTGCTCTTGACGTGGTCTCACACCATCAGACAGCTGTGTTGGTTTGATAGTTCTTAAACACTGTGATGACGTCACAAGGGAGCCCCGCAACATGTGATGTCACCATGCACTGTGATTGGCTAAAACATTGCACCTGACCTGTGGTCAGGTGCATTGCTTTGGCCAATCACAATGCACTGTTAGGGTGCAGTGCATTGTGGGACGCAGTGGGCGAACACACAAACGGCCAATGTTTGAGACTAACTTATGTTCATCTCAAACATCAAGCCCAACCCTAGTATCCACACCTCTTTCCAATGTTTGACATCACTCCTGTGTTCTCCACACTGTCAGTGAGTTCCTCAGCACCCTGAATAGACCCGCCGGGGGAGGCGTTCGCATACTCTGGACTAGACTTCCACTTCCTGCTGCCACTACAGAGATGATGGCCAAACGAGGCTGAAAGCTTGTGAAAGGTGCTTTTTATCCTGGTTTGGCCATCATCTCTGTCAAAAGGGGCGTGGCTACACATTTTAATGACGGCCAAACCAGGCTGAGATCTTGTGACAGGCACTTTTTTTTATCCTGGTTTGGCCATCATCTCTGTCAAAAGGGGCTTGGCTAAACCCAGACCAGGCTGAGATCTTGTGACAGGCACTTTTTATCCTGGTTTGGCCATCATCTCTGTCAAGGGGTGTGGCTACGCATTTCGAGTCCTCCCTACCTCTTTCTCAAGGAATCAAGGATGACATCACTGGGTCCAAAAGAAGGTATGTAATTAAAAAAGGAAACCAGGAAATGGAAAATATAAGCAGATTTAGGTATTCATTTTTCCTGTTCTGCAGAACTAGGAGTGTATTCTGGGTGTGTTCTTTGCCTACATGCTATAATGTGCTGCTCTTTCTCATGTCAGAAAGTTGGAATGTATGAAATTTCCTTGCTTTTTTTCCATACAATACTGCTTTCACCTGTAGCACTACCCTCTTAGGAGTTGCTGAAGATTTGGGTCCCGCTATAGTCCTGCCCATGGGCGGCACAGTGGCTTAGTGGTTAGCACTTCTGCCTTGCAGTAAGTGGGTCATGGGTTCAATTCCCAACCATGGCACCTCCTGCATGGAGTTTGCATGTTCTCCCTGTGTTCGCGTGGGTACTCTGGTTTCCTCCAACACTCCAAAGACATGCTGGTAGATTAATTGGCTCCTGTCTAAATTGTCCTAGTTTCATCCCTGGCCATGTGGGATCTCCTGCATGGTAGGGGTTGGGGAAAGACCTGGCAACCTACCCAATAAAATAATTGCTAGGAGAAATCATGGAAAAAGTTGCTTATGAGTGACATTCCATGCAATTGCCAAGGGACGGATATGACTGACTGAATAGATAGATAGTCCTGCCCAGCCAGGCAACACACATTTTCATTCGAAGTTGCATCCAGGAGACAGTAACCAGTCCTTGAGCTTGTTTTGATGTAGGGAATAATAATCTTGGATGAGGTAAGAGGTGTACGTGATGCCCAATGGAACTGGAAGTGAGGACAAACTTCCAGAAACTACCTACAAGCCTTTACAGCAAAAAATTCTCTCTAGCCAGCCTCTTCCAATGTACCACCCAGACCCCAGATTCTCCTTAATCCAGCAGCTTTGGGGGAACCCCTGGGCAGGGGATCCAGTGTCTGTCCCTTTAAATAATGAAACAGCCCAGGGTAGCAGCTAATCCAGGTTCCCACCAGAGTGATCCTTTTTTTTATCTGGCCCAGGGGGTGCAGGTCTGCTCACTTGGTCCCTGTCCTGTGTTGGTGGGTTGGTGGTTGCTACCAGGCCTTCTAGCTGGGCTGCCCCTTTCCTGCTACACAAGTAGTCCTCTCTGAGGGGACCGGTAAAGTCCCAAGCTTTCAGCCTTGCAAGGTCCTCTACCTGCTGGTGAGCCCCTCTAGATCTGGGCCCCCTCACACACAGGCTCCTGCCTCTCTTCCTCTCTCACATCTTCCACTCTCCCTCTCCAACCACCACTCTCTCCCTGCTCAGCAGGCTCAGTTAAGCTGGCCATACACGTATAGATTTTAGTTCGAGAATTTTTGTTTCAAGAATATTCATTTCATTTTTTAATCGTTAATGTGGTCAAATAGATGTTCATTTTCGACAGCAGAGATGAGAAAACTTTTCTCGATCAAACTAATTTTCGGCAAGTGTATGTGGTTATCGTTCAGAAAATACATTCATTTTAAAGTCGAATGGTAAAAGCTAAAGACAATTTTTCGAACGACATTCATCCGTTCAAAGAATTTTCAAACGACCTTTCTTATGAATATTCTCATCTGAATGTCTACACGTGTATGGCCAGCCTAACTCTTAAGGGTTGTTCTGACCCCTTGCCAAGCCTGTTGTTGGGGATTGTCCAGGATCCTCTAAGAGTACAGACCAGCCACTCCTCAGATCCGCCCACTGCTTCTAGATCTTTCTCCAAAGTTCTAGAGCAGGGGGAAATTCCAGAGGGCTGGTCTGCAGAGCCTTTCAGCTCTGACCAGAATTTGACCCCTGCTAGCTCTCATACCCAAGCTGCTACTCAGCCCTAGCTAACAATTGGAGTCTAGCTCCCCCTAGCTAAATAGGAGGGCGCTATATACCTTTGTGTTCAATCTTTTTTTCTTCTCTTAATGCTATTGGCTTCCCTCAGCCTCTTTCAGCCTGTAGGCAGGGTCTAATAAGTATAAAAATTCAATAAACACACATGGATACCTAAACTCTGCCCATATTGTAGAAACTGTTCAGAGAAATAAGGACATTTACAGCAATGGAGCCACACACGTTGTGGGTCATACACTTCTTCAGGCAGAAGAGGGCGCTGTTTATCCACAAGGCACTTTCTAATGTTAATATAGCAGGCACTTACAGACCACAGACTGCCAGAGGAGCATTTCCCTAAGGGGGGGGGGGGCTATAATATTGAATGCTCACTCTACGACACCCCTGTAATAGTGAAAGCTATTATGTTCATCCTCATCAGGTACTTCTCCCTTATGCTATTCCTACTCTCTCCCTAACCAGCGAGTGCTCTGTCCCTAGGGATGCTGGACCCTCTTCAGTGTGTCCACACTGCGGGCGCACCAAATGGCACACAATTCCACTACTTATGGTATCCCCGGTCAAGATGGCTGCCCAAATCTTGCAGGATTTCAGGATCCAATAGAATTGCAGTCCTCCCCAAAATGGCTGCCTGTAGCCCATAGCAGGAGACAATTAGCCTTTAACCACTTTCCTACAGGGCACTTACACTCCCTTCCTGCCCAGGCCAATTTTCAGCTTTCAGCGCTGTCACACTTTGAATGACAATTGCGCTGTCATGCAACACTGTACTCATATGACATTTTTATCATTTTTTTCACACAAATAGAGCTTTCTTTTGGTGGTATTTAATCGCTGCTGGGTGTTTTATTTTTTTTTTGCACTATAAACAAAAAACGAAAAAGTTTTTCTTGCTTCTATTATAAAATTTAGCAAAACAGGTAATTTTGCTCCTTCACTGATGTGTGTTGATGAGGCTGCACAGATAGGCAGCACTGATGGGCACTGATGAGATGTCACAAATAGGCAGCACTGGTGGGCACTGATAGACTGCACTGATGAGGTGGCACTGATGAGGCGGCACTGGTGGGCATTGATGAGGAGGCACTGATGATGCTGCACTTGTAGGCGGCACTGATGGGCACTGATAGGTGGGCAACTGATGGGTGACAATGACAGGCGGCGCTGACTGACGGCACTGACTGACAGCACTGA